TTTCTAGGAATCTGTCCATTTCTTCTGTGTCTTCTATTCTGTGAGAGTAAAGATTCTCAAAGTAGTTATTGATAGTCTTCTGAATTTCCACTGAGTCTGTGGATTCTTTACTTTAGATGCTATGAGTTCCGAGAATTTTTTTTTATTTCAGAAAAGAATTCCGCTCTGAATTTCTCTATAACTTTCTGCTGTTGCTTATTTACTATCAATGCTATTAATTCATACATTTGAGCTCAGCTAGTAGAAAAGAATTCTACTCTGAGTTTCCCTATAACTTTCTGCTCTTGCTTATTTACTTTTGGTGCTATTAATTCATACGTTTGAGCTGAGCTAGTGTCCTCTGCACTTGCTCTGGGTGGTCATTGGCTTTCCTCCATATGTTTCTACATTTGATTCTTTACTGCAGATGTTACTAATGCAGGGATTTCTTTTTTTATTTCCAGTCTGAGTTCCTCTATACCTTTCTGCAGTTGTTTGTTTATTTCAGAAGCTGTTGATTCATTGATTTCAGCTGTGTGGTTCCCAATTTGTTCTGTTTTAGTGTCCTCTGCACTTGTTATGGGTGGGTTTGGGTTATGAGATTGCATTTTGCTCCTTCTCGTTGTCATTTTGTGTACCACTGTCTTCTGACCTTTGTTGTAGAGCTTTGGTGCAGTTATAACCTTAGCACCTACTGAAATTTGGGTGCAGATCTACAAAGTTTGGATTTATCCTGCTGTGTCTGGCTTGGGTCTGGCTGCTCTGCTCAGCTCCTTACTGCTACCACCCTTGGGAGTGAACCCATTGTGCCCCTCTGGCAAGATGTTCTGCTCCTGGATAAGCTGGGTGGTAGTTTCCCTATTCTCTCTGCAGCGATTGCAGCTGCAGGGTTTCACCTCAGGCCTGTATACCTGGCCTGAGCTGAGTCTGGAAGGGACAAGGTGGAGTAGGGGGGAGAGGAAGCTCTCCCACACACTCACTGGGCCTGGGCTAGGACTAAATCTGGGGGTCCACAAAATGCAGCAGAAATTCTCACTGGGAAGGTGTGGTGGGGGTGTGCTGCAAAGTGTTGGGGGGGCCCCAAGGTGGTGGAAGAGGGTCTCACCCATGCCACGCCTGGGCTCCGACAGGCAGGTCCTGCCAACACAGGGTATCAGGAAGTTCTCCCACTCACTCACCAGGCCTGGGCTAGAACTGGATCTGAGGGTCCCCAGAACGCAGCAGAAAGTCTCATCTTGGCACACAGGGTGGGGGGTATTGCAGAGTGGTGGTGGAGTCCCAAGGGGGTGGAAGAGGGTCTCACCCATGCCTCGCCTGTGCTGGGACTGGCCAGCATTCAGTTTTCATTTTCTGTACTCAGTACTTAAGGCTTTTTTTAAAAAATGAGCATTTATTACCTTCATGTTTTAAAAAAATCTCTTAATTTAATTTGGAAATAATCTGGAAAATAAAATTATCCATTTATCCATCTGAAATGTTAGTCCACTACCACTCGCTCACAAACCACTGCAGTGGAGGTTCCAAGGGCCAATGCTCTGCTGCCACTTAAGAAGCAAGGAATCTGTATGCTGTTTTCTCAACACCTAAGTCTGCTGCGCTGTTATCTGTGGAGGCCAACACGTGGTCCTGTGCCAGAACTACATTTGACTGTATGCACTGGGGATCAGGGGAGGCCGTAGAGAGGTAACTTCCCGGAACTGGGTGTCCCTTTTCTGGTGAGCCTGACCAGGTTGTGTAGTGTCATCCTCACCAGCACCATCTGTCACCAATGGCCATGGCTGAGCTCAGACAGACAGACAAATTGTGATACAGTGGGGTTGGGGGCCGGGGAGATGGCTCAGTAGGATAAGCGCTTGACTGGCAAACACAAGGATCTGAGTTCTATCCCCGGTTCCACAAAAAATAAATAAATAAATAAAAAATAAAAAAAATAAAGTCATGTCTGTGATATAGTGGGGCTAAAATATGGGATGATATCTGCACTGAGGCCTTCATGACTCCAGAGGAAGATTTCTTCCCAGAACTGGCTACAAAGCAGGCTGCTCGCTAACCATACCCTAAATCTAGCTGTTCTATCCCTTCACAAGAATGCTTTGTTACAAGCCTTGCCTGCCCAGCCACTGCCCAGTGCATCCAGCTGCCATTTTGCCCACTGCAATTGTGATTGACAAATACCAAGGTTCGGGCCGCCTTGTGGCCTTCAGTTCCCTCGGAACAACTGGCCGTCCCAGATCCCTGCTGCATTGCTATTCTGTCTCTTGCTCTCTCGTCTCTGACATGTGCTATAACACCTGGCAAGAGATGGACTCCACTGCAGGGGTCTCTGGTAGTGTTCCACACTGGAGAAACCCCAGTGCACCAAACACAGGGCAACCGTGCCCCCAGCAGTGCTCTTTCCAAGGGGGAAAATGTTAAGCAAGCTTATCTAACCACTGGACACAATGTACAGTGCAGCCGCTGAATCCTCAGAACAGTACTGTGCAATGGAGCCAATCCTCAGTTATGGACAGAAACTAGTCACTATACTCAGTCATGATTAGAAAGGAGCAAGATGCTCTGTGTCCTGCTGCATGGGAGGGTGACTACAGAAACTATGATGTACCTACATTTCAAAAACTAGGAGAGGGGATTGGAAAGTTTTCACCATAAAGAAATGTTACGTGCTTTAGTGCATACATATGCCTCACTTGATATAAACAATATATACAATACATGCATGTAAAAACATCACATGGTGCCTGATTAGTATGTAAAAGTAGACTGTCATTAATATTTGTAACATTAAAGTGTTAATTATAATAACTGTAGCAATTATTTGATGTCAGTGAAGTTATTTTATATCCACAGGTAAGTGAGGAAACAGGTCAGAATAAATGAAGGAGTGCATCCAGGGTGGCCGACCTAGGGCGCATGGGTCACAGTGGGCTCTTTGCATCACTGAAAACTCTGTTGTTGTGTTTTTCTTTCATTGTATGATTTTATTTTCCAGACTAAAACCTCAGTATTCAGGTTTAAGTTCAGTATTGGCACTTGGAAATAAATGAGTTTTGGGGTGCAGTTTGGGCACTCAGTCTCTGAAGGGTTCACCATCACCAAACTATGGGGCTAATTATTGCCATAGAATTTCTTTCTTTTTCTTTTTTTTTTTTTTTTTTGGTATTTTTTAGGAAAGGTTCTACAGGGTGTTCAGTGTCTCACTAGTAGATCGGACTCGTAGTGATCCACCTGTTTACATGCATTCTGCTGGAGACAAAAGCTCCTCCTCACAGAGGCCGAGAGACATTATGAGCAAGACAGCTACACATCCCCCGAACACTAACAGAAAGATGACCTAGAAACAAATGCAAGGCTTGTATTTGCCAAAACCATGCCCTCTGCTTTCCAAGACAGATATAATTTCTCAGACTTCCTTTCTCTGTGCCAATAAAGCACTAAAGTAACCTGTAAATCTTAGCATTTTGATGTTTAAACCATATCCAAGACCAAGAGTACCTCTGGAAGCTAGAAGTCTCATCAATCCAAGCACCCTGCTTGTTCTGGAAAACATAGCCAGTGTTTTCAAAAGGCTCTGAGCAGTAAAAGAGAAACATCTATCAAGATCTGCTGCTCTAAACCAGAAACCCCATCAGCAGGTGCAGCCAGACCTCTGAGGGCAATAATCAGGTATTCTTGGAATCTAGAAAACAGGGCATATAAAACTGGAACTGCAATGGATAAAGGTGGGCATTTCATCAAAACAAATTATAAGCTGCTCCTTGCTTCTCTCCCTAACAGAAGTGACAATTCCAAAAACTGTTACAAAAATCCTCTGAACTCAATACTGCACAAACCTCTTCACTCTATCAAGAAAAAACTCCTTAAAATTAGAATTCCAGGTTCCTGGGTATCTTGTAACAGCTCACAACGTAAAAGATATTGGCTGATTTATCATACAAAATGAGAGCCATAAGGAATTCAGAGTAGCACTAATGAGACAGCCAACCTTTGATGGGACTTTTACTTGGCTTCATTTTAATTTTGCTATGACAAAATTGTTATAATAGAAAATCATGTTCCATTAAGGAGATGGCAAATCCATGGCACGTGAGCTCCCACTGCCCTTCATACCTGCAGCATATGCTGGGTTCCTGCTAACAGATGTGCCTCAGAGGACACCAGGACAGAGCATTCCAGGTAGACACTGTGCACCAAGTGAGGTAGGCACAGGAGTCAGAGGCCTCCGTCAATGCTCCTTTGGAGTGACTGCCTCACTCAGCATTCACCTGGCAGCACTCTGTGACACGAAACGGAGCCCACTTGACTGAAACTTGGCTACTTATAAGGTACATTTGATACTTTTCAGAAGTATGGGTGAAGCTGCCATCATGCCAGTAGCCCTATGCTTATCTTCCTCAGTGTTCATCAGTGACGCTATAAACAGACAAAAGATTACATGAGCCACTCGCTGACCTTATGAAGAGCAGGAGCCAAGACAGGGACCAAGAATCCGTTGTAGATATAATTGACAAGCTGATGGCGAATCAAGGGGTGGGCCACCTAGGACAGAAACAGGCATCAAAAAGACAGAAGAGTACAACTACTAGGTCTTCTTAAAATCAAACATTGTTGTATATATCCTGAATTCAAAAAGCGAATCCAAATTTTATTTATTTGATGTTTGTAAGTGATTTTCCCCCCAAGCAATTTATGCCAGTATTAACAGGCTGACTAAAGTTAGCATTTCAAGGTTATGGGGAAAAATGGTAATTTTAAAGAGCCTGTGGAGAAAAAGATAATAGACTGGATATCTATAAGGACTAACAAACTAAAATTTGCAAAGTACAATTTCTGACCCCCCCCAACTTCCTCTGAATTTGTGGCTAGTATTTTAAAAGAAATATAATTGCTAAAATAGGCAATACACTTATTTTGTTAGCAAGAAAAATTTCCTCATTTTGAAGATGCATTTTCTGGTATTCATTTATAC